TTCTTGCGATTGTTACAAGCTGTTGCGATTGGAGCAAACGAACGGACGGAATCGCATGGACTACTTGAAAGAGCGGTGGATCACTCGAGCCGCGTGGAGTTGGCTAACTGTTTTTCCAGCGCTTGCTTTTGCCGCACTGCCTGAGCGTATTTGAACTTGAGGTCTTCGATTTCGTCGAAAAAGTCCAAGTCGAACGCCGACAATTCCTCTGTCAGCCGAGCGTTTTCTTCTCGCAGTCGTCGAATGAGCTCGACGTTTCCATCGTGTTCGTCTCGGGGTAACCTGTCGTCTGTCAGCGACGCATGGGCGCTGGATCGAAGGATGAGCTCCTGCTGGAGTGCATGGATTTGCATGTCCTTTTCTTGAAGCTGCACGCTGTGCAGACGTTCCATGTCGGCCACGTACGCAGCCGAGCTCGTGTGTGACTTTTGAGCGTCCTTGAGGGTTTTGTACTTGGCTCCAAGCGCGCGAAACTTGCGTGCCAGGTCGGCGTGCTCGACGCGCAGTTGCTGCAACTCGGCCTTTGTGCCGTCGAGGACAGCGCTGAGTTGCTGTAGCTCCTTGGTAGCGTTGCTCGCCGCGTGCTTGGACGCTGGCTTGAGGTGTTTTCGCAGCCGCTCGTTCTCACTGCGCAGCTTTTCCATGACTCGCTTCATGTTGGAAATCACGTCTTCGAGCGCGGCCACCGTCGTAACAGTCGCAGGCTCACGTTTTCCCTCCACCTAGAAAATGGAGCAGGCAGCGAATTCAATCTTACGTTTCTAGGGCCTTGCCGCAGCACGTACCGTCGGAGCAGTGGGCTGAGTCGACGGCGTGGCACTCTGGCGGGCGCGCTGCAGCTCGATTTGCAGACTCTCCACTTGAAATGAAAGCTCCAGCACCTTGGTCTCTCGTTGAAGGCGTTCTTCGACCAAACTAGTAGTACATGATGATTGTTCTCGACAAAACAAAGTGTCAAAATGAACTGAGCTCGTACGGAGTCATGTCGAGCTGTGCTAACGCTGCCTCACGCGCATCCAGGACCTGTTGCTGCAGCTCGACAATGCGATGGTAGCAATTGTCCAATTCCAAGGCGGTGTTTTCTCGCAGCGACACCCCAGGCAGAGGAGGCGCAGGTTGGTGTCGTGGCTGCTTGAGCTAGACGAGAATAAAAGCATTCCGGTCGATGGGGACGTTTGGGATGGATGCCATCGAGCATGACATGGAATCGTACCGCATCCGCCAGTTGGAGCTGGGTTTTGGTCAAGTGCTCCGTAAGTCGGTGGCATTGGGAGGTCAGCTTATCCACCTCCGCCGACTTTTCGTCCAGTTTACTCGCCAGGAATTCAATCCTCCGCTTGAGTTTCTTTTCTTGCTCCCACGCCGCTCGTCGTTTCTGCATCCATGCAGTGACCCACCGTGGCATACCGACCCAGTATTGGACGTACTTCGGAGTTTCCATCGGGCTTGTCGCTCTCGTCTTGGTTCGTTACCAGAACTGGTTCTTGGGCGGTCGCGGCAGCTTCTCGCAGCGCTGCATTCTTGGACTCGAGAACTTTGACGCGAGCTTGCAGCACATCCAAGTCTCGTTCCTACAGCAAATCCTACTTGGAATCGAATTGCATGCGATGATAGAATGTACTTGGGAGCTGTACGTGCCGAGTTTGGTCTTGCACCGATTCAGTTCTTCTCGTAGCTCAGACACGGTCGATTTGAGCTCCTGCGATTCTCTCGAGACAGCGGGCGGAGCAACTTTAGCTCTTGCCACGAGTGCCATCGCTCGCTTGTATTTCTTGTTCAAGTCGTCCAAGTCGGTCTGAAGGCCTTCTGCTTTCTCTTGGAGCATGGTACACTTCGCCTACAATGTCGTGGAGGTGCGGTCGTCGCCGCCACGAAATGTACCGTCAACTGCGCATTCTTTTCCGTCAAATTGTCGACACGGTCATCGTGCTGAGAAAGCTGCTTCCGCTTCTCCCGCACGTTTTCTTCTGCTTGTTGCTCCTGTGCCTTGAGAAACTCTTCTTTCAGCTTGATGATAGCATCTCGTAGCAGCGCCATTTTCTTGTCTTTTGCCTGCAAGTCAGCTTTCCACTGCGCCGTTTGTCGAGCTTTATCCTTTTGGGCAGACTCGACGTCGTCGACCAAGGCGTGGTTGACCTTTTGCAATGCCGCGATTTCCTCCAAAGCTTCGCCACACCGAATTTCCGCCGTTTTCTTGCCTTGCCGCAGCTGGTCAATCTAAAGACATGAGCACAAAATCGTCAAAAACAGTGCGCGCAGTGCATCGACAGGGTTTTGTAAGTATTGTGTGATTCCTCAAGAACGATTCGAGGTACAAACCTTGGCTTGAAGCTCTTGCACGATTTGCCCTTTGAGCTCGAGATCCATATGAACCTGTTTCAGCTGCTCCAGCAACCCTTGATGCATCTCCCTCGCGGCCACGACCGCTTTACCGCCGCCCTGACAGATCGATCCTGAGCTCAATGTGCTTGCTATATCCATGTACATGTTCCTCAAGCTGCTGAATCTTGTCCATGGCTTCTTTCAGCTGACCAATGTATACGTGGTTATCTTCGTAGAGTCGCCGATTTCGCCGCTCTTGGTCTTCATGCGCCGCCCGTTGTTTCGCATCAAATTCTTCTCGCATCTTTTCTAGCTGGCGCTGGTACTCGTCAATGCGAATGTTTTTGTCGTTCACGAGTGCTTTCAAACTCGCGATCGTTGCTTGAGCGGCTTCTTGCAGTGCGAGGTGGTCTTTTTCGTAGTACCTACAGAGCCAAGCAGGGCTGTGTCATTATCGACATTGAATGGGGAGGACGCACCCAACTTTTTTTCGCATCGATGGCGAACTGGGCTGCCGCGACAATGTCGCTCCTTGTGCTGGCGTCACGTCTGGCGGTGGCTGCGACATCGATGATTCCAATTGCGATTCCAACACAAGGTTGTCGAGTTTCAATTGCAAGTCTCGCAATTTTACGTCCTTTTGACTGCTCTCTTGGAGCAATTTCGAGCACTTGGTTTTGAGACCGTCCATTTCATACAGCGCTTGGTCGAGTTTTCCTTGCAGCGCGGCTTTCTCGTGGCGCCATTTCTCGTGAAAGGTTTCTTTTGGGACGTTGGATTGGGCCAACTGGTCAATCTGCTCAACCCATAAGCTAGAAAATCGTGGTCAGCCATGCCAACGAGAAGGCATGTGCAACAAATGCCCGGCATAATCAAGTACACAAGCGCCGTACCGTTCTTTTTGCTCCAATATAGCAATTCGATGTTTGCATCGCTGCAATTCGTGCATGTCGTCGGATGGATTGCCGGTCGCAGGAGTCGGCATACCAGCCTCCAATTCTTCAACTCGTCGTTCTAGCGCTCGTTTTTTGGCATGCAATTCAACGGCATCTTCTTCCAGCGACTCGATGCGTCTGCATTCGTTTTCCAGCTCAGAGTTTCGGCAACGATCGTCCATTCAACGTACGTGGCCATGGCCTCGAGTCGCTTGATTTTAGCGCGTTGGTCGGATTGCTTGAGTGTCGCAATCGTTGACTCGAGCACTCGATTCGTCTGCCGCTCAAGTTCGAGTTCGGACGTATAATGCTGTGTGACAGCGTCCAGTTGCAGCGTGAGTGTGTTGACTTGCAATTGCGCCGCTCGTTGCGTTTCCAACGCTTTCTCGTACCTGTCCACATGTACGTGTCATACTCGAGACATGCAATGGACGCGATACCGGTCAGTGAACGAGTGGTAGTTGGCTTGGATCGTCAAGAGCCGCTGTTGCAGCTGCCCGATGATTGCGTCGTCGTCCGATCGACTTCCGAGCTCCCGAAGACGTTCTTCCAACTGGGAGACTTCGTCGCGATGCCGTGTCTGCCGCAGGGCGAGTGTGTTCGCTTGAGATGCAGCCAAGGCGGCAATCGACTTGTGTTTTTCCACCTACACCGTGCAAATTCAAAAAGCGCAGCACCAAAACACACGGGAAGAGCCCCCACGACCGCATATTCAGAGCTCGTCAAGAAGGCCAGAATGGAGGATAGCGTACGTCTTGTTGCAGGGCAGTGCAGCATTGCTCGAGCTCGGCAATGCGATGTTCCAGGACAACTTGGAGCGTGGGTTGGTTGTGTTCCGATTCTGCATGACGTGGCGGCGTTGGCGCCGCCGCGGGTGGGTTTGTCAGTTCCTTGATCTGGGCGGCATAAGACTTCAATGTGATTTCCAGTGCTTGAATGCGCTCGTCTTGAAGAGTCGCAGCAGACGACGTGGACGAAGGGCCGACTCGCAAGAGGGCATTTTCATGCAGCAATTTGGTGTTTTCTGCCTTGAGATCGAGTGCTTCGACGTACACTGCGTGGAGGCTATTCCATCGGTCGAGTTGGTTTGCGTACGTTTCATGGAGGGTATGGTATGCGTCTTGGAGGGCATCGTAGTGGGTTTTCAGAACGCTTTGATGGAGCGCTTTTTGCATGGCCTGCATTCGTTGCATGGCACCTGCATGGGAATCGTCAGAGGTCGATGCACGATGAACAAGAAAATTTTCCACGATGACAACGCCGGCGACGGGGGCGGTTTGTACCTAATTTCCACGATTCCAAGTACTGCAACCGCGTTTTTAGCGCCTTTTCAACGTCGAGGAGTTGGTCTTCGACCGCGACGCGCCTCGTGTACTCGGTGTGTTTTTCATCCATCAAGATGTTGTGCTGCCGAGCGAGCCTGGCTTGGTTCACTTCAAACAGCGCGAGCCTGCGCGCCATGTCGGCGGCGTTCTGTTGCCATTCCGACTGCACTTGCATGGTTTGCCACATCGTTTCGAATCTACGGGGAGGTACCAACCGAGTTCAGCATGGTTCCAACACCTCATGCCGTGACTCGACACAATTTCCGTAGTCCCAGAGGGACCACACGCACCGATTCAACTTGATCGCTTGCTCGTCAATGGTCGTTTGCGACGCTGCCAGCTGCGCATCCAGCTGTTGCTTGCGCGCTTTGAAGCTTTGCTGCTGGCCTATGTACTCCCTACAACAGTGTGCCAGTGGTTGTTTTCCTCTCCACGTCACTCTTGTCGACATGATCGTCGTGGTACCTGTACAAGACAGCTTGCTGGTCTTGCACACCGACGAGGGCCGCTTCGATCGTGGCGACCTTTTCAACGAGCTGGCGGTTTTCAAAGTACAACGTTGCGCATTCGTCGAGACAGTGGTCGAGCTCCAATCCCGCCTGGAACTGAGCTTCGAGTTCCTCTTTGGAGTCCAGCACAACAACGCTGGGCTTGTGCTTTGCCGTGGATGCGTGCATGGATCGGGACGGCGGCGTCGATGGCGTCGCTTGAGTGTTCGATTCCACACATGGAGCGGGCGTTGGCCTATCGTCGAAAGTAGGTATTCGTGGGGTGGGGAATGGAATGGCGCACTCTGGGGCAACGACTTTCTTGGCGGCTTCCTGCAGTTGCGCGAGCTGCTGGCGCAATATGTCGTTCTCTTGGTTGGCAAATTTGAGTTGCGCTTCGATGTGCTGCCATGAGTCCTTGTGCACATAGTTGGTTTGGAACGTGGCGACCTCCATCTGCTTGAGCTTGAGTTCGCGCCGAACGTCGGCGACGAGTTCCTTGTCCTGCACCCGCATTTCTTGCAAGATCGCGACTTTAGCTTCCAAGTCTTTTGCGATCTCCATCGATGACCCAGCATTCTACCACCCACGGTGACGACAGCAACGACCACTAAGCGAAATGAAGCACCTCGAGTTGCTGCACTCGTTGCTTGGATTCATGGAGTTGCGCCAGCAACGTCTGACGTTCCGTGTCGAACGACGATTTGAAGTCCAAGATCATCTTGTCCACGGTAGCATTGGTCGCATCCATGTCAAGCACCTTTTGTTCCAGCAAACGCTTGTCCTAAACTCGCATCACCTCATGACCTGCTGTCTGTATGCCAGACAAGAATACTTCTTCGAGCTGACGTATGCGCTGGGATAGAGCGGAAGTCGCGGCATGGGTTGCATTTGTCGCGTCTGTCGTTGAGGTTGTGCTCGCGCGGACACGTGCCTCCAGACCTTCGAGTTCCGCCCTGAATTCAGATGAGCACGTACACGTCAGTTGATAAACTGACCTCATTTCAGCATGTTCCTTCTTCCATCGATCAACTTCCAGGAGTACCTTGCGTAGCTCGCGTTCCTTGAGCTCCAAATCTGTCTTGACTTCGTCGAGTCGGCATTGTTCCTCTTTCGATGCATCTTGCGCCGCCAACTCCAACTGACGCAGTGTCTCACTTAACGCTTGCTCTCGCTGCAGTGCGTCAGCCCACTTGGTTCGAATATCGATCAGTTCCGACGTCTCGAGGACTGGTTCAGCGGCAGCCCTTTCCTTTAGGCGTTGCAGCAGTTGATCGTTCTGCGTCGTCAAGGCTTCGACTTGGCGACTCATCGTCGTTCGTTCTTCGTCCCATTTCACTTTATCCTGAAGAAGATGCTCGTGCTCCTGCTTGAGCTTCTCCATCGCTTCCTGCATCGACGCACATGCAGCTTCCGCGCATGGCATCGCGACCTGGCGCGGGTTCTGTCCTTTCGAAGTACGACCTGTAGTGTGAGCTAGATGTGGCAATAAATACGGAGTAATCAAGCGTTAAATTGATGACTTTGTGATATGACCAGTTTGTAACCGCGCCTGCTGGTGTGCAATGATATATAAATATAACCCCTAGTTTTAATATATTTGTCGAAGTGAATGTATACAGCACATCACTAATAGTGGTTGTCCACAATATATCAACAGCAAATTCTTTCCAGTTTTTTCATTATATATTGTACAATTTATAACAATATAATACATTTATAACAATTGGACTTGTAGTTTGTATCCTCTCCCGTAGATTGAATATGAAAACAATACTATATTTATCCCAAACTCAATATCTAAAGTCAAGTCTAGACGGGGATGAGCAATATTTATTTAATTGCTCCACAATATTGCGTTTTTGGATTGGTTTCCATCATGAGAATATTGAACACTGAAGCACTAGCATCTGGATGAATCGAGAGATACAAGAAACGTCATGCCGCCGTGCCAACATGCGCCTTCTGCTGGAGTGTTGGCATGGCTTAACGAGGTTTCTACGCACAGCACTTGACGAGAACTGCCCAAGGTTGCTCCTTCAATACAAAGTGCATGGCGATTGCGCGAAATTCTAGCTCTTCCGAATCACCACCCAAACCGAGCCATCCTGCCCGCGCTCGCACAATGCTCGTATGCATGCCGGCCATGACACGTGACACAAGGTACAATTCCCGTGCTCTGGTCACGGTTTATTATCTGTTGGCGAATGCATGGACCCCTTGCGGATTTTACTGGGCATCGTCATCCAAAATTCGCTCGCGATCATGGGTGAACTTGATGCACCCGGCACTTCAAACTACTCGCGAAGTCCAACGCTTGCGTGCTGTTCACCCAAGTTCACTGCCCTCGTGGAAAGCAGACTTTTGTCCTTTCACCTCGTGACCATGATGCCAACTGCTTGAACGATGGGGGTGCCCCATCAAACACCACGGCAGCTACGGGATCGGGGCTTCACACGTAATGGAGATGGCTATCGCTTTTTAGGGACCTTACCCCTGGGAATGGCATTGCGTACGGAAGGGCTGTCGCCGTGGGGGTGGACAACCCAGGTAAGGGGTCGGAGTTTCAACAAATACTACGTAGCACATGGATGCATGCCGTATGCGAGCAGCGCAAATCATCCACAAGCCTGCGCTCGTGATCCATTCCGTGTATTGCGCCAGCTCGTTCTCGGCGAGATACTGGACAGGAACGGGGCTTCCCAGGAGCCTGGGCAAGTAGCACTTTTTGAATCCACGACAAAAGCACGACCGCGCCGCTTTGTCTGAATTACAATCGTTGTTCTATCACGCAACCAAACCGGCGACGACACTGCTATTGCGCAAGCTGCTTCTCGATGAGATGCTCGACATCTTCCCTGCAAAGTACCCCGACGCAAACGAGCTGGAGTACGAGATTTCTCGCGTGCACAAGTAGTGCCCACCCGTCTTGGGCGTCGGGGGCATATACCCCAACACAACCGTGCGACGGGAGCTCAGGTGGCCCCGGAGGCTTTGAATGCCATCCACGGGCACCACTGGATCGATGTGGAATGCTGGATCGTTGGTCACGAGCACAATTTCGAGGTCCAGCATCGTCGCGGCCGCGTACAGCTCGGCGACCGTGGCTTGTTCATCCGGTACACGTCCAAATGTGTCGTATCTGGCGCATGCACGATCAGAGACGACAGGCATGGGGTTCGCCATACCGCGTTGTGAGTTCGTCCACCGGCGTCATCAAAAATGCACTGAGCACAGCAACGTTTTGAATGGCAAACGCAGCCAGGTCTTTTCGCAGCTGTGCCGCGGCTTGCATCCGCCGCGGCGCGACTCCATCGGCAGACCCCACGTTTACCATCGCCATGGCCGCTGGGTACGTGGCAAAAAAGTCCCATTTCAACGGGAACAAATCATACACGAGGCAGTGGAGAAAACATGACCCGTCCGGAGGCATCCCGACGCCTTGTAGTCCAGCTGATCGCAGCTCCAGCTCCATTTTCCCCCGTTCTTTGTCAACGTCGGGGTCGACTGCCTCTGGCACAGTCACAGCCATCAATCTACGGAAGACCCATGGTCAGACAGGTTTCCGTGGCGGTTGCTTACGTGTTTGTGGAGAGTTCTGCGTCTTCTGGGACGGCAGGTGGCGGCTGCAGCGGCACCGACTGCCGCGACAAGGTCATCGAATGACTCGTGTTGCTGAAGCGACTGTTCGCGCCACCGAAGCTATTGCCCGACATCGTGCTACTGTATCGTTGCCGGTCGTTAAAGTTTTGGTTGAACTGTTGTGGGGCGACTGGGACGAATCCGCCGTTGTTGAAGCTGCTGTTGCGCATCGCGAGGCTGCTTCCACTCAAGTGCTGCCCACCAAGGAAGCCCGTGCCCGACCAGCGGTAGTTGGTTGTCAAACTTTGCGACGTCATTTGTGGCCGTGGCCTTTCAGCGAATGTGCTGTGGCGACCGGCGGAAGCAGCATCTGCCGACGTCGGGATTTGCGTGATCGATTGACCAAACCCGGTCGAATACGCCACGAACGCCTTGAGGGACTGCGCTTCAATGGACGTGATGTGAAACGAGACTAAAGACGGGGCGGCAGTGACCATGCCCATGTATGTGTCGAGTTCGGCGCGGCGAGCTTCAAGGAAGGCTGCTTCGAGGTGCGTGCGAAACAGCGTTCGCTGTCGATGGAGCGGCGGGAACTTGATTCCCTTCATGTGCTTGGGACTTCGCTTTCGTAGTTGCGAGTCCAACAGGCGAAATGCCGAGAACGACCGCCACACACTCCACGTCGCTGTGCATTTGGAACGCCTGCTCTCCGAAAAGTAGGTGCATTTGACCGTGACTTCGTACTCGGCTTTCTGGAGGACGCGCACATCATCAACGCGGACTTCGCATGCGTACGGCCGCGAGGCATCGATGTCTTCGGGCCCTACCACCATGCTAACAATGATGTGCCTGCCTCGCTTTGGATCGGCGCGGCTGGCGTCGCGGCGTCTAGGCTGGTAATGCTGGTGTTACAGCGACACGAGTCCTGTCAAGTGCGCCAGAATCGTACTTCGAATGGTCATATTTTATACGTTCTCTAAAGTGCGCTTGGATGCTGTTGCGTAAGTACGATCTCCGCACCAGCGAGGACGAAAAACCGAACGTTCGACAGGATCGCATCTTCCGATGGTGGGAGAGGCCATGCACGGACAGAGTTGGCTGCGTTCGCGGCGGCAGGGGACCTGATCAGCATTGGGGGATCCACTTGAGATAGCCCTTGATGATGTGTACAGACTCTGCGTCGAGACTGCCCTGGCCCCCACGTTACTTACTCTTCCTGCGGGATGGAGGAAGTTTGCTCTTGCTGGACTGGCGCAATGACATTGGCACGGCGACGTGGTCGCGTTCCGCATTTCCTGGATGTCCGCAGATCATGGGTCGAATCCACTTTGAATTGGACCGACTTTGCGTGACGCGTTGAGTGGATACCCCAGCGATGGGTCCCGTGCCGCCCTGGAGCTGCTCCTGTTTTTCCGCCATCACCGCTTGTATGTACCGTTGACCATGCACGACGACGCCAGCATCGTGTCACTGCGGGACATGCCCTCCTTGGAGAGACGCCCGGCACATCCACGCCGACGCGCGGCATGCCGCTGACCTTCTGCCGAGCAGCTTGAAAATCCTCCGAGTGTGCCATGCAATGGCCGTCGAGTTTGCCCATTGGGTGGTTTCAAAAAGGTCCGTCCAATCACAGGGCGAGCTTGGGTCGTACAGGACTTAACGTGAGGTGTCAGGGAGGGTTGCCGACATGGGTACAGGCAAGGGACTGTGGCCAACAAACCCGCTAGGCAACAACAGGGCGCTTCAACTCCAGTGCGAAACGAAATGGTGCTGCGATTGCAACGCTCGATGGATCGTTGCCGCCGTTTTGATACGTGCTCCCAACGGAACTTGTCAAGAAGCCACCGCGGGCCGAACGTGTGCATCCCATCCACGCACCATTTGGCAATAGGAGCCACCGAGACAGACGTCTAGCGATGGGGCGATGAATTGCTTGTCCTTACGCGGCAGAGGCTCACCTTCCTCTTGGACAGCGGTGGCCACAGTGCGATAGCTTGTCCTTACGCCGCAGAGGCTCACCTTCCTCTTGGACAGCGGTGGACACAGTGCGAGCACCGTCCGACACGTTGGAAGAGATGATGGCACCAGTGCGTTTGAAGAACGTAGTCATCCTTGGTGCCCGAAGCGAACCTACGCAAGTTGCTTTACACACTCACCTGCCCCATTGCCATGAAAGTTTCTCCATTCATTTCTGCATCGAGTCGAACGAGGCATTGCCCCTGCCCCCCCACTAGGTCAAATCCATGCTATTCACACACGGAATTGGGTTTCCATGTGTGGGTGTGATGGAGCCTGGCGCGCCATTGTTTTGCCAGCCTTGCAAAGCTATATACTTGGCGAGGGTGTTTTACTTACCGACACATGGATCCGATCCAAGCATGCGCAACGAAGAGCTCCAGAGTGCCATTCTCTGCACCGCTGTGCTCGGCACTCCCTGCTTTTGCACGCGCTCCTTCATGTCGCGATATCCTGGCCTGATGGCATGTTCTTTGTGAAGGCAAGAAGTGGATGCAGTTGATTGGCTGAATGAAGGAGACATTAGCCAATCATACAACTCAAACAAGTTTCATTGGCTTATTTTTGCTTGAAATTGGCCAATGAGACGTTTGGATACACCACCACACCTCGCATTGTGCAATTCGACAGTCGCCATGTCATCTTCTCCACGGAAGCCAATGTCCAAGGCGGCGGTGCAGCGATGGTACCTCCTCGGAGGCGTGGCGCTCCTGTTTGGGTTCGCAGCGTTTGTCAACGTCAGTTTCTACATGCGCAATAACGCCACATCGTCGGGGCTCTCGGCCGCCCACGTCCGAGCGGAGGGACGTCATGGACCGTCGGCGAGCAATCGCATCGTCAAGCACGTTGTGTTCACAGCAACGTGCTCCGAACGTGACCGCATGCGCTCGCAAGTCTTGGCGTTCACCGCTCGCGAACAACGATTCACTGGGTACTTGACGTACATTGCGTACAACTGCGACAAGATGGCGTTCCTAACTCTGCAAAAAGCCATGCCTCCTCATTACAACGTCACATTCTTTCATGCGGCGAATATCCAGGGGTCAGGCGAGACGGAACTGAACCCGCATGCCCTTCACGCATGGTACAATCTCAATTTATATCTGTTGCATTTCTCACGACCTAGCAGGACAATGTCTCCTGAGGCGAAGGCGCTTCCCGCCGACGAGTTTGTCATGATCGTTGAGATCGACACGATCTTCACTCGCACGTTGGACCTGGCCGCGATGCTGCATGTCGCCGACACGATGACGAATCCGACGTTGTTGGGGCAGGTGCTCGCCTCACCTTGTTTTCATCCGTTCATCTCTTGTCGCTGACCGATCTATCTAGGACGCTGCGTGGTTCGACAGCGACTACCCAACGTATATCATGCCAGTCGAGATTCTCGAAGCCACGATGGGCAAGTCGTCCAAGTCGGCCAACACCGACAACTGGCGCGGAAACGCAGTTCACGCCCCGTTCATCATGCATGCGCGGCACATGGATCCAGTCTTTGGCATGACCAAAGGCATCTACGACAAGCTCGAGCAAAAGTACCAGCACCTGGCTTACCCGTTGGCATGCGCAGAGCTCGAGTTGGAGCATGGTGTTGCCGGCAGTTTCCGCCTCAGTCGGTACAACTCGTTCGCGGAAAACTGGAATTTCGTCGACGTGATCAAGTACAACCCCATTCAAGAAACGATGAACGAAACCAGCCCCGTAAGTCGCCGTCACGGACAAGCAGCAGCACGGAGCCCAGCGTTGATCGTGTCGACTGAATTTCGAGTGGTGTTGCGATGGATCTGTAGTTGCATGGGTTTTGCATGACGACGTGACTCGGCTTTTGTTGGTCCATTGCGCGTCACATTCAAGGATCTCTGTCGTAGCTGTATGCCGAATACCCGTTCACGATGCGCACGTCGGTGCTGCAGCTGCTCAAGTGGGTCGATGGCGCACCATACGTGATGCGGGACCGATGGGTGCCGCTGGATTTTTTCCAGTGCGATGCCGTGATGCTCCAGCTTCCAGACCCTTCTCTGTGGTACACGCCGTTTGTCGTGCTGCTTGTGTTGGTGACGTATCACGGACATTTGGTCGTGCAGGCACTATGCATCGCACACGTATGGGTGGGAGCAGGTGTCGCCGATCCTCCGAACGCGCCACATCGTGTCGATAGCGTTGACGTATCAAGCGTACAACCGCGCCGCGCGCGACATCAAGCAGCACACGTGCGCCAACGGGTTCAACGACCACCAGCGGCTACTGCTTGGAGAAGACATCAAGTCCGCCGTGCCATCCAAGTTGCCGCTGCACGGCCTGGCTGCCAGCACGAACGACGTGGTACCGCCGCGCTCTGTCGCCCACTGGGCGTGTCAAACGCCAAGAATTCGATGGATCGCCTCATTCATCGTAGGCAGACGCCGACCAAGCGTTTGACTTCGTCTTTGTCACGTCATGCTCCAATGCCGACCAGTGGCAAGCGGACATGCTCGTGGAATCGTTCGACCGCGTGAAACAGCGCGGGTCGTTGACTCGTATCGTAACAGGGTGTGCCACGATCGACGAGCTCAATCAGGTCGGGTCTGCCAGTGCCGCGTTTGCCGACCGAGTTGTTGGTTTCGCAGGTTTATCGCCGCACGAGTCCCAAGATGAAATTGCACTTTGCGCCCGACACGGCGTCGTTTCACTCGACGCACGCGCTGCGCCATTGGCTCCAGCACTCGAACGCGCCGCATTTGCCGTCGACGCTGGTCGTGCTCGCGGTGGACTTTTTGTTTCTCCGCCGCTTTGTCATGTCCAAGTCGATGCCAGTTGTCACGGCCTACCCGTACGATGGCTCGTGCGTTGGAATGTTTTGACGCCGGGAGGTAGGAAACCCGACGAAGACCCGGACCCGGACGCAATGGAGGTCGTGCGCGGCAGCCGCCAGCCCAAGGCAGTGTTTTTCTACTCTGGCCATGCCGCCGCGCCAAACGCGATCGAAGCCAAAACGGGCACGGTCATTGTCCAAAATTTCGACTCGTACCTCGAGGGCCTCACGACCGCGGACCGCGTCGCAGCACTGTGCCCGACCTGCCCCAAGGTACTGTCCAATTTGATCGCCGTGGCACGAAGGAGTTTTCTTGTGACTGCGATCCCCACAGCCATCCGCCACGTCGGACCAGTACAACGTCGGTCTCCCGTACGTGGTGTCTACGTCCGACTTGAAGAAATCGATCGACGATGCTGCCGCGTTTGCGGAAAAGTACTTTCAAGCGTATGCCCCGCCGAGTCGGCTGCACGCCGACTTGGTCGGGTTCGCTGTGGCAGCGGCCAAACAAGGCTTGTCGACGGTTCGCTTCGACAACTTGGCGCTGACCCAAGCGGTACGTGCCACCCGGTCGACGTGTATCAGAGTTGACTTTGCGTGTAGGCGAGCGAAGACTGGCATTTCGCCCTCGCCAAGAAGGAACTCAACTCGTTCACGATTGAATACGTGCTCGAGAACCCGTGCCACGACGAGTTGGTCGTGCCACCGAACGCAGCTCCGTTTCTCCGCCAGTTCAAGCGATTCCAAATCGCGTCGTGGGTCGCCGACCCAAAACTCATGCCGGACAACGTGTTTGCGTGCGATATGTGGCTCCTGCAAGAACCCCCTGCGTCCCTGTGGACGGACGCCATCAAGTCGGAGGTACGACGATGCCACAGGCCATGAATCCATCCCACGTCTGCTCATGATGGATGGCGCGGGCTAGAATGCCGACACGATCAAAAACACATACGGTCTGTGCACGACCCTCAAGCTGTGGAACGCGCTGCTCGTCCAGCGCAAGCAGACCCAGTGCCCCAACGGCTTCAACCACAACAAGCGGCTCAAGTTGGTGGACCCTCGCCCTGCTGACGTGCTGATATCCCTCGACAAGCCCCAATGGCCATAGCACCATCCATTCGATGCGGCGGCTGACTTAATAGATTCCACAACGAGTGCATTGGATGCGTTTTTGCTCGTGGTCGAGAGCTACTCGACAACAACCTTTTGCAGCCCCTTTTGCGACGTCTGGCGCAACACGTACAGCTCGTACGCGTGCATGCCAGTGTACAGCCCCATGGGGAGTGAAAACAATCCAATGCCAGCCCACATGGCCTACGCACAGCATGCGGTCACGCCGGGTTGCTCGCACGTGCACAAAAATACGAATTGCACGTACGTCGTGGTACGCTTGCGGCACGTGGATGTTGAGCATGTAAATGGCACCACCGAGGACAGCCCACATCGAGAACACAATGGCAAGGTCGATGAAGTCGGAGGTGAAGACTTCCCGCCATGCATGGCTCCCGGTCGCCGTGACAAGCCCCAGGATTTCCGTCTTGTACTTGGCGGCTGGCCAACGAGCGGGCGCTTCGTGGAGTTTCCGGTTTCCAGCAAACGGTCTCAAACGCAGTGTCCGGCGCTTCTTCCTCCTTTCTCGCCGGACAACGGGACTCGGCGCCGGGGCGACGTCATCGCCGTCGGTGTTCCATGTGTTGTCCGTCATGTCGAAGCGTCGGATCTCGTCCCACCCCCCATTAAGTCCGACGTATCGCGTAAAACGCATTGGGTTTAACGTAAATCCGTCAAAAATGCAAGAGGAGTTTGAGGAGCGCAGTCGAGTAAAGCACGTCGGCGGCGGCATGCGGGGACTCGTGGGGCGGGGTCCAGGGGGAGTCATCCACAAGCACTTGTCGCGGGGCCAGGCATCGAAGCGCGCGGCTGGCAGTGGTGGCATCGGCTAAGCCAAGTGTCACCCCCCGCGCGAGATGGACGACTTCCCGACGGTAGCGCGCGCACACACGTCATCGATGGCCGCAATGGGCTGTCCGTGCCTCGGGAGATCGGTACTTCTGGTTGCGTCGTTGCTCGTATGCGGCGGGGTCGCGCTTTTCGTGCCGGCGTGGCACTTGAAAAGAGTTCGAGTCGCTGGGCAGTGTATTCCAGTGCCGACATCCCCCGCTGCGCCATGGACACACGGCAACGGTTGGTCTTTTTCACGGTGGTGGCGCCGCAAAGGACGCGAACGCATCAGCCCCCGAATTGCATTACATCATGCGAGTCGGATGTGCTCTGGCTGCGAACGCACGGGCGCTGCTGCGATGGCAGATACGTGGTGTGCATGGCAGCAGCGCGACGAGTGTGTTGTACGTGATCGAGTCCACGACCGGCGCCTCGACTGGCCAGCACAAATTGTTGCAGGTGTCGCCTTGGCGACCATGCGTACTGTTGACACTCGCGAGCACGGCAGCCGCAGCGGCACGACGGAGCGCTCGCTTTGCCAAGACTCGACCGATGGAACGAGCGACGAGGCATGCATACACCTCGTCATCGCCCCATTCTCCCCACGCCGCACATCCAACTCCATCGTGTGTGTTTTCTAAAGCCCATTCGCGGGGCGACGACGGGCAGGCAAGAGGATTCAAGTGGTTGTGTGTACATGGGTGAAGAAGTGTGTACACCTCCATCGCCCTTCAACGACTCGAGGTCGCACGGCGTCTGCTGTTGCTACGGTTGTCGAGCATATGGAGCGCGGACGCAGCAATAAGTACGCAACGACCAGCTGGAGCGACTTTGACGCAGGTTCCATGCAGCCCGTGGCATCGTGATCGCGCTGCAGCCCCCGATGCACCAACGGGACCGGGGATCTCGGCTGCCCATGGCTCCCCCTCCTCCCGCCACACCACTCTTTGAACATATCGTCCCCTCGGCATCGCGTCTGGCCAAGACGATGCGGGGTACAACTACGGACCTAGTTCAAGTTTCGCCACCCACGTGACGCCGCCGCTTCTTCAATTTTCGGCAAGTTGGTCGGCGCTTCCGTGTCGACGTACCTTCCATGAAGCCCAAGCCACACCACGCGAGAGGACGTCCTGTGCAGTTTATGTCTCCAGAGCGCGCACTCGATATTGCCGCCATCGTCGTGCGGCATGCTGGTCGAGGCATGGAAGGGGTGGAGGTAGGGCACACTTTGATGATAAATTAGATCGCGTCGGTCTTTACACCGACGTCATTTCGTCCTGCAACTTTTTGGTCAAGCGAAGGATCTTGTAGTGTCGATGGAGCTCGCAGTACCCGCCGCCCCGGTCGGTTCGGGCGCAGTTCTCGGCTTGGCACGCCTTGGATCCGCCATGCTTGGCACAAAAGTTGCCACGTTGCGCGCTGTTCTTGCACTTGGCCACATCACAACGCTTCCCGCCACCGTGTTTACGGCAGAACCCACCGCCTTGCGAGCTTTTGTTGCAATTCGCAAACGTACAACGGGCACCACCGCCATGGCCTTTGCACAGCCCATGCGACTGCGCCGACTTGGGGCAGTTTTCGACTTTGCATCGCTTCCCGCCGCCGTGGGCAATGCACAGGTTGCGGCCTTGGCTGCCTTTGGGGCACCCGACGATGCGACACTTGCGCGCACCGCCGTGATCTTTGCAAAACCCGCGGTACCCGATCGCGTTCTGGCACAGATGCTTGAGGCACTGGCCGGGAATTTCTTGCGGCAAAACCTGGGCGATGGCGTCGGCAGGGACTGCCAGTGGCTGTACCGGCGGCGCCAAACGCTCGTCGACGGGCTCGAGTTTGGGCGACGACGTCTCGTACGGGATCGGATCAAACAGCAAAACTTCGCTCAGGTCCAGGTCGATCGCAAAGCAATCCTTGTCGAGAAGCGACGCAGGCTCCAAGTGAAACGCATCCCACGGATCATTTGTTGTCGGGAATCCTGGATCTAGCCACGTCGACGCTTCCACCATGATCGTGTCTTGGAGACGAGAAAATTGCAAAATGCGCTGGTCGACTGTGTCGTCGTAGGTAACGACGGCAGCGCTGCCGAGACCACATGGTCATGTGATTACACACCGCCCAGCGCCAGGCCCATGTGCGATGGTCGCGGGCCTCCGCACTTTGGCCAAGATGTCCTCCGCCCCCTTCGCCGACGCCCCCGTGGCCGATGCAGCCTCCGCCACGATGCCACTTGACCGCAGCCATGGCGGTGCCGACGTCCGGACGCGCCGCCGCCGAGACATGACGTGGGCGAGTTTGCCCGAATTTAACGTCATTGCGTTTTAGTCCAGAATTGACCAACCCACGACCAGAATGGCCATGCGGCGACGTGGCGGCGTGTGGTGTGACTTCGCTCCGTCCTGCTCGTCGATTGCTTGTTGGTGCTGCGAGAGACTCGGCGCAGGAGGGCGGCGGTCGTTGCGAAAGGCGGCGTGACGAAATGGCTCGTCGGCGGGTGTCCGAAGCTAGGTCGGAGAACGCGGTGGCGTCCCACTTGCGCTGCATCTGGCGGTGCACGTGTCGTCGTGGAATACGTCCGTGATTCGCTTGCATGCCACCATGTGCGCGGCGCCCGGACGCGCGGTTCAGTGGGTGGCGCTGGCCACGGAAGTGGATTGGGTCCAAGGACAATGGGTCGGTGGCAGAGGACGATGACGCGTCCCATGGGACATCCGACGGCAAAGGCGATGGCTCGTGTGAGAGGAAACGTCGTTGAGCTGTGCAGAGAGAGAGAGAGAGATTCGAAGCACGGCATGCAGAAGGATCGAAACGGTTCATCGAAGCTGGACAGGACTCGACGTGTTGTAGCCGGTCTCCACCTGCCATGGGAGTGCGCATCCGTGTCAAACCAAGCATGCGCTGGGGACAGACAGCACACTGCCCCGGGAAATGACTCTTTTCGTTTGCTAGGTTCATGGCATCGCCACACGCGAGCGACGCCATGCGTCTGCGCCAACCCAGCACTAGAGGACGTGGGTTGCATGTGAACCGGCGGGGGGGGGGGGGCGGCTGTCTGTCGGGACAACGGGGTTTAACTGATGGGTCGACGCTCCCGCGACGGTGCGCAGCGTGGGGGGTGACGCACGTGGCTCGTGCCATCGTCCAGGATCACCAGGCGCATGCGCTGTCACAACGGACACGCGGGTGCGGCGAACTCCGTCCGTTGTGCAGCATGGTTGGCGCAGCGGGAAGGCTGAGATGGGTCCGCGACATGGTCACACGATGTCGATAAAGGAAGGTGGCTGGTTGCGATCGTGGTGGCGGGCACAACGGCACTGCCCGACGAGCAAGCACGGCTTGAATGAAACGCCCTTGGCGCTGGTCCACGAGATGCAAATGGCGCGCTTGGCCGCAGGGGATGCAGCTTGTGCATTGCAGACTTCGCTCGTCGAAATTGGAGGCCCTCGAGCCAACTGGATCTTGTTGAAATTCCATAGTCCCAGCCATGTTATTCGATCATGCGTAAGGCACGATGGTTGGCGACTGGGTTTGCATGACGCCATGCAACTTGTCGGCGCCGGTGCAGAAAGGCCCATCAATTGCAGATGATGGCCGTGCTGCGCCTACACAGCCTGGGACAGGTGGTCCAGCTCCCTGCCATCGAGCTGCATGGCGACCGGAACTGGGACTTCAAGCATCTCCGTCACACACCAAAGGTCCCCCAGCCAAATTCACCTCGTTCCTGGCCACTCCTCGCCACCGCGCAACTCGTCATCATGGTGCCATCGATACGCCAACTTCATTCGCCCTTGCAGGGCCGGTCGAGTCAGCTTCCCACACGCCCTGCTGCTAAACGAACGCGCCATGGGACGCAATTGTCAGTGTCGATCCCGCCCCCTCCTCGTCCTCTTGAATGCTGCCCACGTTGTTCAACTCGGCAAGACGTCGAGTGCATGGGTCCCTCGATCGAGCAAGCATGGCGAGTGTAGCGATGGAATGGAGCGACACTAGTGCATCCATGCGTGACGAGAATTGCCAAGACCAAGTGGACGGCGCCTTTGTCAACATGCCGGCGCTGCATGCCGGTCGACTCTTCCGTCTCAAGATGCGCCAGACCTTCAACTCGATCCATCGCACCAGTCACGCTGCATCCAGGCACTCTGCAACAACGATGATGGAAGGATGACTCGGTGCCGCACCAGGCTGTCCATCCGCTCGGTCGGCAGGTGCTGGCGGAGGAACAAAAACGTCGCCCGCCGTGGCAAACGTCTTGAACTCCCGCACCGGTTTGTCAACACTTTCGATTCATGTTGGATCGCTCGCTCCGTCAAATCGCCCCACAAGCCGCGCGACCCTTCCACAAGTACTACTACGTCCGTGCTCAGCATGCCGATGGCAGGCAAACCCCAAGAGAATCGTCCGTCCGATCCAAGCGATGCCAGCCACCCGATGGATCTCGAGCATGTGGAGGCGTTCGCTGTACCCGTTCCTCCCAGACAAATACGATTCTGTCGTCGCTCTCTCTCCACTCCACGGTGACAAGAATCGCCTGTTCCGTCGAGTGGTGCCGCCGTGCGTCATTCGGTCGTCTGGCACGCACATCAACGTGTTGGCCCGCCCCGCCTTTCCCCGCCACTCTCGACCCGTGCATCCACAACTGGATTTGCATTCAATTGGCGATGTCGGTGGTGGTCAGCTGAAACCACGCCATCATTTGATTTTCGCCATGCTCCATGATGTGGCAGTGCGCCAAGTACGGACCTTCCGTGACGTTGAAACCAAATCCGACGGCCGGTCGCGTGCTGTGCTCCACGAGAAACTCGTCGGGCGTGCATGCCACATAGCAGACGTACGCGACGCCGCCGTCCGGCCGCGACGGAATCGCCACGACGTCCTTGAGCTCGTTCGTGTCGATCGTGGCGTCGTTGTCCCCGCACATGGCATTGACGAGGTGCCAGTGGAATGGATGTGGGTCCGCGGTCGGGTTGACAAATTCCCACTTCTCGACCTTGCCAAGCGTGCAGTGCAGGGTGCTCTTGATCGTGGATGTGTCCTTCACCACGCCGTGCTCCTTCAAAAACAAGTGCGTCGAACACCCACGTCCGTCCATGAGCTCCCCGAGCGTGATTCGCCGCGTCAACCCGCGCGTGTCACGATGCAGCGCGCGCAGATCTTTCATCGGCACGAGGTCGCGTGGGACGACGACTCGGGTCGCGGCTTTCGACGGAACGATCTGGAATCGCATCACACGCTTGTCGTATACGTACGCGCTTTCTTGGGACGGCGTGTCTTCGATGTCGAACGTCGTACCAGGTGCCACGGATGTAAAGTCGCACACCATTTCGACGCGCTCGAGAGGAAACAGCGTCCAGCCCGTGGCAGGCACTGCCCTCGACTGCTGTACAAACCCGCTATCCGTGGCAATGATTGTGCAAAGCGATGCAAATGGCAAATCCAACGCGTACGCGCGGGCGTTGGCCACGTTGGCCCATCGGAAACGCACCTGGCGCGCTTCCACTGTTGCGACGGGCATCACGACCCCATTCACCGTGTTGACACTGCCGTAAGCTTCCGGCACCCACTTGGTCGGTATCACAGGCATGCAGTCGAGCTTCTCCGTGTACATCAAGGCGCCGGCAGCACTGATTAGTTTGTCCTGAAGGATCAGCGCCATGTCGGGCAGGTCGGCCAAGTTGAATTTCGACTCCAACGTCGCGTCATGAATGACATACAAGCCAACCATGCCGGCCCACATATTCAAAGGAGACAAGCCCCACGCATGGTCGTGGTATACTTTAGTTGATGGACTCTGTCGATTCGCATACTCGGCTCGGAAACTTGTGTTGTGGTAAAAGGTGTGCGTGGGCAGTCCGTCATACTTGGGAGGGTTCTCTAACCCGTGTACGTGAATGGACGTGGGAACTCCGCAGTTGGGATAGCATGCGGATGCTTCGACGAGGAAGGACGGCTCTGTGTTGCGATGGAGAAGGTGTGGGGCGGTGCCCAGGCGATTGGTCCATGTGACGGAGATCGGGACGTTGCGAGCGGTGAGGATGGTTGGACCTGGGAATGTCGGGGGGGAGCCATCTTTCCCAAAGCCATAGACTGTTCCAGACGGCGCGCCGCCTCCCCACGCGTGCAAGACTTCGCCAACGTGCAAGTCCAAGTGGCCACCACCACGCATGTCGATGATTTCGGGTTGGACCAGTGGCGACGTATACGCATGCCAGTTGGTCATGAGCGGAGGGCGGTAATGCGGTGACGACGGCGCATTCTCCGGTGCCGGGTTGCTTTGGAAGAGGTAGCCAAGGAGGCCTCCAAACAGCCCGCAGCACGGGAGCTTGAGGTTCGCCATCAATTGTCAACTCGTGCCATGGCCGCCGTCCTTTTGGATATGGACCATGCTGATTGGCTCGAATCCAGCCAATCCAAACGCCCCCCCAGCGTGTCCATCGCACCAATCCACCTTGCCATCTTAGATGTAGTATTACTACTAGTGTTCCTACGTTGTTGACTTAGGAGTACTAATAGTAATACTACACTTTTGCGACTTCAATTTGAAAAATCCCGTGGCCGATACGTAAGACAACAGAAAACATGTACAAAATGAAACCTGACGCATTCGAGACCTCCTCGATCAACCATCCCAGCTTCTAGCACAGCTCGCGAGCTATTGCTCACCACAGCACCCAACGTACACAAAGGACTTGTTACGATTGGTCTCGTCCACACTCTGTCAATGTCGCGCGCAACCATCAACTCTGGCATCTTGTCTTGT